CATCGAAAACTCAAGTCCACTGACTATCCGGAACAGATTACAGAGAGAGTCTTTCAGGGCTGTGGACCGTTAGAGTGTGTTTGTGCCCATCAGGTTGCGGTGGTGGACTAGCTCGTGCCTGGACCAACTGTTGGGGCTGTTATCTGGCTGCAGGCGGAGAAGGGAGGAGATAAGTGGACGGCCAACTTCCTGCAGGTGGCCAGCGGCCGTTTCTGATTGGCTTATTCGCAGCTCCAATCGAGGCGCATAGTGATCAGATGACAGGAGAGGAGAGAGAATTGTATTTCAGTAGAATCAGTTCACTACAGCCAATCTCTTGGTTATAGTAACTCGGTGTTTTGAGTGATATAATGGTCTAACGATGACTTACGTTCCCTTGTACTCTTTAGTTGCCAAAAGTCTCTTTTATTTGTAAAATGAGACCATCTCATACTGTAGTCTTTAACAGAAAGCGCCATAGACTGAAAGGTTTGAGACCACAATCACAAAATATGGAAAGCAGGAATTGTATTAGTAGATAGGTACTATAGCCTATTGACAAGAAAACAACCCCAAATATAAAACGAAAAAAAAACTAATGAATGAAAAATATAAGATTCTTAGAAACCATGAAAATAAAACGTCCTCATTAGGTGCCTCTGTAGCTCCTGTCAAATTCGTTTATATAGTATAGTTAGTAGTTAGTAGTATATTAGTTTTACTGATTTCAAGCACATCTGCACAATTTATGTGAATTAGTCTTCATATGTTAAGTGTGAGCCTTTTTGAAACTGCTGTGATCCTGGAAGTATTCAAATCCTTTAATTGAGTAAAAGCAACATAAAATGTTACTGGCAAAATGTACTTATGTTACACTACTTTTAGAGTGTTCTATATTATTTGATTAACATTACTGGGCAATTCATTCTGTAACAATTCGGTCATTTCATAAGACGATCATTTGATTACATGTTAAATCTTAATCTGCAAAATAACCACTGTAGCTGTCAGATGTAGCAGAGGAGTTACGAATATTAAATTGGAACCATCACATAAAGTACCTCATCAAGTACTTGAGTAAATGTGCTTAGAGATAACAAGATGGTAACAAGCAGTCCAAACAACATATTGTAAATACGGAGTAGTCTAAAGTAACTGTGTTAATCATTATGTAACTTATGGTGGTGTCAGATACATCTCCCACAGCAAAATTCAATGTTTTGTTTAGTTTATTAATCAAGTAATTGTATTAAGTTCCACTATAGCAACAAAGATGTATTACTGTAGCCTGCAGTCGGTTTCTTATGAATCTGTCATTAAATGCTTTGGTGGATTAGGAGACCAACCCCTGGAAACAGACATATTAAAGAACCCCCTCGAGGTTGTTTTACATTTTTTTCGTTGATTTTACCAGAGTTCTCAAATTCTGTTGTTGGTTGAAACCATTTTGTATTCGCTGGAGATGAACAGGGTCTGTCTGAATTCTGTCCAAAGCTTTCTGCCACATTAGATCCACTGACTCGCTTCACAGATATAATACAAACTGCACTGCAAATTATTTCCAGGAAGTTACAATTATGTAACTGTAATGTTTCACAGTAAATTACATTATTATGACTTCACAGGCTTTTACTGTGATATTTAACCAAATTCAGAATTTTACTGTGATACAGTGATTTTACAGAGGTATAAATCACAGTAATATTATGGAGTTGAACTGTGAGATTACAGTGAAATACAGTAACTCTACAGAAGCATACTGCTAAATCACAGTAAACAGGTGTACATAAACTGTGAAGTTACAGTTAAATAAGCAATACACAGGAATGTACGATTATATCAGTAATGTAATGGGCTTTAACTGTGAGGTTACATTTAAATATAGTAATTTTACAGGAGCATGCTGCTAAATCACATTAATATGCAGATATAACTAATGTGAGATCACAGTACACAGCTGTCATTTCACAACAGCTTATTGTAAAATGAGCAGTAATTTACTGTGAAAGTAATGCAACTATAGTAGCAATTTACTGTAAATGTGTAGTCAAATATTTTACGTTTGTTTCTTATGAGGCTAATGAGCAGTATGATCAGTAATTTACTATGAAAGTAATGCGATTATAGTAGCCAGTAATTCACTGTAAATGTGCAGTCAAATATTTTACAGTGTAGTCTGTCAAACAAAAACATGACATACTTTCGACTGAACCATTTGACTTTTTAATTAAAAATGCTTTTTAAGTCACCTCAGGCAGAAGCTAGGGTCCTCCTGGCATTAATGGCCCCCTGCTTGGCCTGTGCCTGTAGGCCTGTTCAGTTACCTGTTCATGCTGACACACTTACACAGCCACGACAACCAAATCCTGTTCCTCCACCCCCTCTAAATGTTTATTATTATACCGTTAGGAGTTTGGGGGCCCTATACTATATCTTTACTGGCATTAGGTGTACACACTTGCCATAATTTACATGTTATTCTATTGTCTCTTTCAAAGAGGTGGCCCCTTGTTGCGGCCCTGGTTTTACGCACAGCCCAAACGTGCGTTAAATGGCTCTTTGTCTAATCAAACAGTTACAGTGTTATCTTTAACAATGTAATACACGTTAACTGCAATCCTCATCCTAACGGTGCAGCTGAATAGCAGGTGATTAACTCATTATTTGAATGTGTGGAGTTTTCCTGTGAAGCCCACCTATCTGTCAGCAGTTGAGGTGATATACTTACGATAATAGCAACAAATGCAAATCGCTTTAATGGCTCACTGAGGGCATGTTTATCACCCCACACGGGTTTCCGCAAAGTGTTAAACAATAACCGATAACTTGTCTGTTTCACAGTTACACCACGAACAGCCTCTGTGCCTCCGAAGGCTCCAGCTGCACGTGTTCTGGTCATCTTGATTTTTATTACCAGGTGACTTCATTAATGATATGTTAACAGGTCACGCCTCAGTGTTGGGAGGAAGCCTGGTGCTCGTCACTGATAAGTCTGCGCGCTAATCGAATCCAATGGTTCGATTTTCTGATGCGTCTTTAAAGCGTGCGCCGCAAACTGCCAACTTTCTAACGGCCCTAATTTAGATAAAGTGGACTCAGAGTGCAAACAGGGATATGAGCAGCCTTGAAGACATGAAAGAAATCAGCAAACGGCTAATATTTGGACTGAGACAATCATTGCAGCTCATTGATCCAGCCAGCTCTGCGCGGCGTCAGGCTCCTGTCCAAAAACGATTGATAACTCCTCAGCAGAGCAGAGGCGCTGCTGCTGCTTCTTGGGAGCTGGCGCCATATATGTTACCATTAACAACTCAAAGACACAGCTTCTCACTGTCTCCTGCCTACTATCAAACATTATCCATATAGCCTGACAGCACTGAGACGCTAGGTGAACACAACTTTCAAGTTCTGGTGACGTTTAGTAAGATGCAAGACTGTGAACAACTATTCAACATTGAGGGGGACCATTTTCAAACTACATTTTCTACAACCCAATCCTCCTGCAGGGTCTAGGAGAAATTCTGCCCAGGAGAAATTTTTAAGAAACTCAGCAGCTAAACTGATAATTTTAGAGCATTCTGAAACAAATAGTCACCTTTAAGTTATATTGTTATACCTGCATTCTGAGTGGTTTCAAGATATCGAGCTTCAAAGTTTTTGTATTCTAAATAGCAAAAATAACATGTGGACCAAGTCTTCTTCATACACAAAAATGACACACACCCCAAAGTTATTATAAATGTAAAATATCAAAATCCTGTCAGTATATGGAGTTTATAGGGAGGGGTCATAGACAGATTCTCATTTTTCTTCTTCAAAAAAGCATTGCAGGTTAAGTAAAGGTCAGTGATAAATATTTTGTTCAGTGTAGAGGTCAATTTTAGGTAGGAATGTGGCTGGTTAAACACATTATTCCAGGAACCATTAGTTTAGATTTTCTTTGGATCAGACAGCAAACAGCTACAGTTGGACAGGTGTTCTTTTCATGAAAATTATGCATCCTTTTTTCTCCAAACATACCTTTGCTCATTGCTTCCAAAAAATTTCTATTTTAATTTCATGAAGGTCATATTTGGGTTAGGGTTAGGGTTAGTGCCACAGTGCACCACTGCTCTAGAGTCTGATAAACCTTCCCGCAGGTCTTTTGTAGTCAGACGGGAGTTTTAATTTGCCTTTCTGACAAATCTACATGCAGCTCTCTCGCAAAGTTTTCTTGGTAGTTCAGACTTCAACTTGACCTTCACAGTTCCTGTTAACTGACATTTCCAATTACCGAATTAACTGAGGAAACAGCTACCTGAATACACTTTGCTATTATAGCATTCTGCTGCTTTGAGGGCATTGGTTATTTTAGTTTTCAGAGTGCCAGGCAGCTGTTTAGAGGAGCCCATGGCTGCTGATTGTTGGGATAAGGTTTCAGGAGTCAGAGTATTCATAAAGCTTTGAAATTTGCATCACCTGACCTTTCCTGATGATAAGTGTGAACAAGCCAGGGCCCTAACAAGTTAATTATGGTCTGACACCCTGGTAAAAGTTGTCTAAGAGCTCCAATGTCTTGGGGTGCCCAAACTTTTGCATGGTGCTCCTTTCCATTTTTTCACTCTAAAATTGTACAAAACAAAAATAATACACTGATCTTGCTAAAAATGTTGAAAAGCACACTTAATCTTTAACGTTATGCCTTTTGGGGATCAGTTTATCTTCTACTCACTTAACTATTCACAGTAAACAAAATTGCCACAGTATATTAAGTCATGCAAACATATGACACTAACTGATAGTCTTCAGATAGAAAGTTAAAAACTCTAGGAAAATACATTAAAACTTTGACGTTTATGTCATGATAATGACATACAAAAACACAATTTTAAAATGCTAAATCTTACCAAAATTAAAATTATGAAACAATGTGTAAAAATGTTGACCCATCATGGTAAGCAGGCAAAGACATCAGTGATTCCTTTATGACCACCCCCCCCCCCCCCCCCCCACCCCCCCCACTCTGAATGATGCAAGAAATGTTGTTGGTATTTAACAAAGATCAACTGAAAATTTATTTAACCTTCAAGTGTAGAACTTCAACATGTTGTATGGACACACAAGTGCTTCAGATCTGGAGTACATCAATCTTTCATTGAAAAAAAAAACAACACCAAAAAAAAAAACTCCTCACTGTACTGAAAGAACAGAAATAGCTTTCATTTACATGTCAGATGTCTTTGTTAAGAGCACTGTTCAGAGCATGGCATTCCCACAAATAACCCTCCAGATAAACTGGGTAACATCATGCGTTTCACCTGCTTTGTAAATGTATTTCTCAGGATGCTGCTGTTTCATGTAAGAACACCTCAATGAAGACAATGTCATCACAATACTCCTTTTTATATCTCTCATTATCCATATAGAAATGAATTTTATGTTTCTGCTGATGTTTCACAACTGCAAGCAGAAACTCTACTTCAATGGAAATTATACAAAAAAAATATATTTTTATATCTTTCCAGCATCATTCATAATAACTCCTGCAGTGTGGAACATTTTCCTCAAATTTTTGTTTAGTATAAACTGTTTCATGCATTGCAAGATGCATTGTCAAGCATTCTTCCCTAACACAATGTATTACTTCTTATGTTCATATTGTAGAAATATTTTTTTTGAATTGTGACATTTATGTATATTGTGCACCGTTTCTATTACCCAGCTCTGCAATACAATTAGAGGCATGAGCAGGTGAAGACAGAGGCTGGGGTGGAGGATTGAGTGGGGCTGTAAATACGTGAGTCCAGAATCAGCAGTGGTTTTGAGAGTTGTCTCAATTTGTCCCACTTCACCTGCTCAACAGCACATTTTAAAACATCCAGGATAACCCGTCATCACATTTAGACAGCATGTTCTCTTCACTGGTGAGTCATGACTAACCATGAAACAGACAGCAACCCCAGCTTTTCTCTCTGGGCCCTGTTCAGACAGCGTTCCTCAGGTGTTCCTCAGGTGTCAACCTCTAGTGGCTCTGCGCAGTGGCCACCCTGCTCTGATTGTGAGCAGGGCTGCAGAGAGCGCAGGATGTGTTCCAGTGTCCACTGCTCCTCATGTAAGGCGTGCTCCTCCAGGGTGAACTGACCCTGCTTGGTTCGGGTCAGTTCCTTCACATGAGCACAGGACGACAGAGCTGCAGCACATAGGCATTGATTATTCTCATGTGTTAGCGGGGTGGATTTCGGAACTTTTTCATAAACATGCTGACAAGGACATGAATGAATGAATGAATGAATGAGTGAATGAATCTAACCTTTTCCCAGGTCATCCACCAAGCTTCTGACATAAAATCCACCACCACACTCTATATCTGTTAGAGAAATAAAAATCATTTTAATTGTTAATTTGAATGTGTAATTAAGCAAAATCAGCAGGAAATTACACCCAAAATAGCTATTCTATTTTAAATATCAGAGAGTTAGAAGTCAGTATTATACAGCAGTAGAAAGAAATGCTGATTTAAGCAGCGTGTGCTGACCCAGAGTGAAGAGAGGAGGTTTGAATTCTTGCAGGGTCAGGTTGTACACAGTGACTGGTCTAGCTGGTTTGGCCTCGACCTTGTGACCTTTCATCAGCAAGACAGATAGACGCTGGCCATCTTTCTTTAGTGCAGAGTAGCTGAAAGCAGTAGCAGAAAATCAATAAATCACTCCAGTAATTAAAATGTCTTGTATGTAATTCTGGAGAAAGATTAATTAGTTAATTGTTGAGTCTCATTTCCAGATCGGCAAATACTAATGCTTTGGATTGGACCGAACCACCAAACCAAAGCGTCAGTATTTGACAACCTGGGAATGAGACATAATCAGCTATCTTTCGCTACAGTTACACACAGCACTTTCATTAAAAAGTAGTCATTTGCAGTATAAACAGAGTTTATAAATTGTATACACCCAGTCCACATCACAGAGTGACACTGTCAGTAATCCCTGGTCCTTTAGTTTGAAAAGTTGCAGCTTTAGGCTGTTTGTCTATAGGAATGGCTACTGACAAAAAAGCTTCTTCACAGGTGAAGTGACCATTGTAAAATATAAGTCTAGTGCTAGCGACCTCTAGAGGCTGCAAGGTTCACTGCATAACAATAGAACATCAGCAGCAGACTGATGATTGATCTGTTCCTGAAGGGACTTAAAAAGACTTATTTCTATTAGGTTACTGTAACCCTAATAACTCGGCAAAAACCTTTACAGTTTAGACCTAAACTATATTCTTGCAAGATCTTGAACATCTTCAGTGGCAATTAACACATGAAATTAAGGCCCTGAAATGAAATTAAGACTGGCTGATAAATCGATGCATCCCTAAACAATACACACGCAAGGTGAAATAAGGCTTGGCTGAAATGTGGTATTTATATTTGCTTCAAGGTTTTCTGCTGTGATGAGAAACCTCATGGAGGCTCCACCATACTTTCATCATCTGAGGAATGTGAATATCAATCAATTCAATCAATCAATTTTATTTATAAAGCCCAATATCACAAATCACAATTTGCCTCACAGGACTTTACAGCATACGACATCCCTCTGTCCTTAGGACCCTCACAGCGGATAAGGAAAAACTCCCCAAAAAAACCCCTTTAACAGGGAAAAAAACAAAACGGTAGAAACCTCAGGAAGAGCAACTGAGGAGGGACACAATGAGACAGAAAGAGAGAGAGACAGAGAGGGACAGAGACAGAGAGAGATGCAGGACAGACGGTAATGACAGTAGCTTACAACAACATTAATGAAAGTAATAATATTATAATTAATAATAATATATTAATATCTGATAATATACATATGTGACAATAATCATATGTGTATAATAACAGTAGAAGTATGACTAATGATAACAGCAGCAGCAGGAGGCATCTGGCAGGACCACGGCAGCAGCACAACCACACACGTCACACTATCCAGGCACCGCTGCGATATGAGTTAACCTGAGAGACAGTGAAGCACAATATGTACAGTATGGAGTCTTTACTTACAGTGGAGGAACTTGCATGATGTCACCAGTGAAAGCTTTCAGTTTCTCCTCAATGTCTAACCTGGTTATGTGTCCTGTGGGCAAAAATCACATTAACATCATCCAGTAAAATAGAAACAAAAAACTGGAGAAAGAAAGGGGGGAAAACACACACACACACACACACACACACACACACAGTACTGTAGATTAGACTGCTGAATGGAATGAAGAGTTCAGATGAGATTATGTTTGTACTTCAATATTTACCAAAGTCTTTCTCCAGAATCACACTGCCAGTGGCATCGAGAGTATCTGTTGCTTTCCCCAGTTGCCCCACAGCAATATATTTCTGTAAAACAAACAGCACACATCAACTAAGCTACCGGTAAATAGGGTTGTAGCGAAATACTGGTTTCAAGGTATACCGTGATATAAAAGTTGAAGGTTATCATACTGTGTATATTTGCTTATCTACAACAGTGAAAAGAGAGACAGAGAATCTCCCATTTACTCTAGTTATTTTCTAAGGGGAGACCTTTTACACATACTTCCATTAAAAAAATGGTTTCAAGTTTCAATAATAGTGATAAAACAACCAAAAATAACTCTTTCATTTTCATTCCCTTCAAGGGTCATTCTGACTGATAATAAGATAAATTCTGTAATACCGTGATACTGTCAAGCCACGGTATCTTCTGAACCCTACCTGTAAATGCATTTCAGTAATTTGAAAACATATAAATATGTCCAACTTTTAGCCCATTTCTAACAATTTCAAGACCCAGTTTGGGTAAAAATGTGAATATTATAACATTTACACCTCATATAAGCAGTTTTTTAATGGAGTCAAGCTTTTGAAGTAAGTTAAAATGATCTTTACTCAAGTTAATGCTACAGTGAACAGCAGTATGCAAGTGACAATTGCTTCTTATATACTGATACATTAAAAAACAACCTAAAATGTTAGTCAACCCAGTTTATCAATATTTATCATGTATTATGTTCCTATAATTCTTCTAGAGGGACCCTGAACATAAAGCTTAGAATATCTGGATTCTTGTATATAATTTCTGAAGTCAATACAATATAACATTTTGTAGTATTCCTAAAATAACTTTATATTTCTCTCTTATCAGTATTGTCTTTCCTGACTTTATCCATCTTTGGGTTGTATTTTATCTGATCATACAGTAATATATATTCAGGTGCAGCTACTCAACCAGTCCTACTGTGATATACTGTAGCTGTCTTCAGAGTAAATTACAATGACACATTGTGCTCACAGCTTTTATCAAATGTGTGTTATGCTCCTAATTAATCTACAGATCCACAGGTCTTTTATGGTATCTTAATTAGTTTTGTTAAGTATAATAACCAGAATCATCATAATGGAAACAAACACATTCTATTAAAGCCTAACTATTTCAGTGTTGTAAATATAGCTCTAACCTTGATGCATATATGAGTTGACTTTTAGTATTTAGTTAGTGTATAATAACTCACCTTAGAACCAGCCAACATTGTACTGAGCATCTTTGTGCCATTTCCAACACCAACAACTGAAAGAGAGAGAGACAATATCAGCAAAGCCCTGCTAGCATCCCCTAGAGGCGGCACTGTTCATTACACCTGATACAGACCAAACAACATGCTGATGATGATCTTCATTTTACAGCCTTACCAGTGGTGGCTGGGGATGTTTGTCCTATTTTATTACAGTCTGATCTGTGCTGTCAGAAGGTAATGGTATTGTCCAAATAAGGTAGGGCTACAGCTAATAATTACTTCTGATTAACATTTGGTCTATAAAATGTCAGCAAATAGTGAAAAATATCCATCATAAGCTCCCACCGTGTAGGGGGGTGTTTTCAAATGTCTTGTTTTGTCCAACCAACAGTCCAAAACCCAAAGATATCCAGTTTACTGTCACGGAAGACTAAGGAAACAGGCAAATATTCACATTTGATTATTTAATTATGAGAAAAGATTATTATGAGAAAAGATCTTGTAATTACGACATCAGGATCTCATAATTACAACATCAGGATCTCATAATTATGAGAGAAGATCTCGTAATTATGAGATCAGGAAAGTTGCTACATTGGCCACTGCTTCGCTCAGAACCACATACTGCACATCCATGAAGGGGGGTCGGAGCTACTGTAACCAGCTGCCACTCGGGCGGTGCCATCTTGACGATATCCCATATCTTTAAAATACTGTATATATTGTAAATAGTCTTGTGTGTGTGTGTACAGTAATTCAATTTAGTGCCTTACTTTTACTAAGGCTTTAATGTAGCTTATTCAAGCTACACTGTCACCCTCCCTGTCTGTGCTTTGAGCTGCTGTGACGTGTGAATTTCCCAAGTGTGGGATTAATAAAGTTTTTATCATATCTTATCTTATCTTAGCCTATCTTACGAAGAGGTAAATTCATGTCTATGGGTAAATTAACAACTTGGTTTCTTTACGACTAGACGGTTCCGTTGCCTCAGCTGTACTCCTAGGATTTTTAGCAGGTGCCGCACAGTTCTCTGAGACACAACCAAACCAGTTTGGATGCATTTCAAATGCATGAATTTGTATCCATGAAGCATCCCTTGTTGATTCAACGAAATCAGGATTTCGTAATTACGAGATATGGTGTCTAATTTTTTTTTATCTAGTGAATGCAATGCGCTTCCATAGGCTAATACTGCACCCAGTCTGTGGTCCAAAAGGGTACATGGATGCTACATCATGCTCACGAAGCAGATGTTAGTTTACAATAACGCTTGTGCACAGACATTTTATTAAATCTAGGGCTGGGTATCAATTCAGATTTTCCAGATTGATTCGATTTGATTTTCAAGGACTCTGTTCGATCCGATTCACGATTCGATTCGATTCAATTCAATTCAGTTCAATATCGATTCAGTCAAGTATATTTCAATTATGATTCAAAATTTGCTTGGATATTAAGATATTTTCTGAGAACTAACTAAGTATATTTAACAAGGAACCCTCTGACCTGGTGCATTACTATTAAAAATACTGTTTACATTAAGAATTGACCCCAAAGCAGTACATTAGTCATCATGTACTTTTATTTAACATTACCTGACACATACAAAATAAATATTTTAAATTAAATCTAATCACAAGGCAGACAATTTAAATAAAGTGGCTACAAAAAATGTAAACAAACGACATCCACAAGTTTGCTGCCTGTAACCGTCTTATAAAGCTTTTGTGCAATACACTACAGTGGTTGAGATGCACACATTGACTGTATCAGAAGAAAAACAATGTAGGTGAACCCTGCAGCAAGTGAACCCTCTTCCTCAGAGAGGATCTTTGCCCCCCAGTTTGTTCCTGGCGGCAGAGCAGAGTGAGCCTTCTTTCTTCTCAGAGGATCTTTGTCCCATGAGAGCAGGCACTAACAGCTCTGTGTCCGCAGTGTAAACAACTTCGCTGGCAATTTGACAGTCATTAGAAGTACATTATGACCCTCTGTCAAAGTTTCTGTGTGGTACCTGTGTTGTACATGAGCTAACGTTAGCGGCTAAGGAAGGACTGAGAGGCTGTCCGGTATGTGTGTGTGTGTGTGTGTGAGTGTCCTTTGACACACAACGAGAGGCGACGTTGTGCAAATAAACCAAAGATTTATTAATTATCTGTAGCAGTAAACACTAACTAACTATGCTAAAGCTTTACAAGCTATTCAGGGCTGCCGACGATAACGTTAACATGACAAACAGCAAGGCTACAGCTAACAAGTTATCGTACTGACACTCCTCAGACAGACACACACATATCGGACAGCCTCTCAGTCCTTAGCCGCTAACGTTAGCTCATGTACAACACAGGTACCACACAGAAACTTTGACAGAGGGTCATAATGTGCTTCTAGTAACTGTCAAATCGTCAGCGAAAGTTGTTTAAAATGCGGACACGGAGAGCAACTGTTAGTGCCTGCTCTCATGGGACAAAGATCCTCTAAGAAGGAAGACGGTTCACTCTGCTCTGCCGCCAGGAACAAACTGGGAGGCAAAGATCCTCTCTGAGGAAGAGGGTTTACTTTGCTGCAGGGTTCACCAAAACGTTTTTTTTTTTTTTGTTTTTTTCTTTTAATAAATTGAACACACATTAAAGAACATACAAGATCCTGTACAGAATTAATACATATAATACAATACAATAAACATTATCAAATTAAATGAAGGAAGATTTTTTTTAAAAAGGCAAATAAAATACTGGGGATTTATGTAAAGATATACACAGAGACAAATAATATAATTAAAGATATGTAGGCTATGTTCAGCGAATACTCCTGTCAAATGCATGGTGTTGAAACATTTAATTTGGATCTTCCTTAGTCCATTTAGACTTTACTTTATCATAACAATAACAATGAATATTATGAATTGTTCACATTTTAATTTAATTTAATTTTAATAACATTTATCACACAGCATTTTGTGGAAAAGTCAAATGTTCATTGGTTTTGGCCTTGGTGCCCCACATTTTGGCCGTGATGCCCCAATAAATTTGTATTTATCAAAGGCCAAAGTGGCCTTGCCCTAAAATTGAGTTAATTCCAGGCCTGGAATACCTACCTCAGAAAAATGTTGTTCAACATTGATATTATTGTTAAAATTGTTCAAAAGCTGTAAGAGAAGACAAGAGACTTAAGTTTATTGTTTTGACAGTCAGTGTCAGGCTGTCAGCTGTTGCATTTAAGCTAAAAACAGGAGTGTTCCCTCTCTGCTGACCAGAGTTTATGTGCCTTGTGTCTCTTGTATCAGGCACAATCATAGGTTTTGTTATTTAATGATATTTTTTTATTATTTATTTATAATTTTTGTTACTTTTCCTTTTGTATCAGGAAATAAGCACAATAAATCTTTATGTTGAAAAAAAAATCGTGAGAGAATCGTGATCTCAATTATAAGCCAAAAAATCGTGATTCTCATTTTTTCCAGAATCGTGCAGCCCTAGTTCATTGTTGGGGCTAAGTGAATGTTTGTGTCAAATCTGAAGAAACTCCCTTAAGGTGTTCTTGAGATATCTCAAGAATGAGAAAGATAAGGTCACAGTGACTTTGACCTTGACCAAATACCTAACTTAAAGAAATTTTCTAAACATATACTTGAAGTATCACATTCACAAGGATGAAACAGATGAGGTCACAGCGACCTTGACCTGAAACCTATAACAACCAAAACGTCATCAGTTCATGGTTGAGTCCCAGTGAATATTTGTGCCAAATTTGAAGAAATTCCCTCAAGGCATTCTTGAGATATGGTGTTCACAAGGATGGGATGAACAACCTAAAAACCTGATGCTTCTGGCCACAGCTATCACTGGTGCAGAGGCATAAAGAGCAGGAATCCTGTAGTCTACAAAGATTAACTTAAAAAGAGACCCACTTTATTTTACCTTTGGCTGAAGTTTATTTTTTTTCTAGAAAATTATCCACAACCTCTGATATACGTATTTGCCTTCCAGTATGGCATAGTCAACTCTACCTGTAACCAAAACCTTTGCTCTTGGGGTACTATCGCAAGGTAACGTTACATCACCAGTAGCCGTGTTTTCACAGGCTAGGTGTTTGGGAGGAAATGTCTTTTAATATCTACTTCACTACACCCCAGCCAGGACAGAATGACAACAATCGCACGTGGACCTGCACTTGTACGTAAATGAAGAACCGTCCTACCCAACACCCCGCTGGCAGCACTGTCCAGTGTCCCTCCGTGTCCCATCTTCAGGCTCTGCTTCTTCCTCTTTCGCGGGTTTGGGTTTTTTACACCAGCCTCTGAAAGATTAGGGACACAATGACATTTCACTATTAGCTTCAACCAGAGCTGCCTCTCCCTGCTTAAACAGTCGACATACTTCCTGATCCATGTCGAATTACCTTTGAGTAAAACTTCTTTGAGTTTATTTAACACGTCTGCAGATGTCGGCCCTTGTTTTTTATATATCGCGAACGTTCCATTTAAAGACTGTAGTTTAGATAGAGAGCTAGTTATCGGAGCTGCAGTGTTGCTGATGTTGCCTGCCATGCTTAATTGACTCTTCTTCTGCCGAAATTCTTCTTCTTCTACTGTTTAATACAAAGAGCGGCTAAACGAACCGTGCCTGTCTTTCGCCACCTGCTGGTTCAGTAGGTTTGTAACTATTTCTCATGGGGTACAAATCAAAATAACACTACGTTATATACGATGACGTTTAAACCATTACGTCCTGTGTGTCTTATTGATTGATTAAGATTGATTAATTTCCGTTCTAGTTCACTTTAAGGCCGGGGTAGATCAGGGGTAGATGACTGAAAAATACTCATGTTTTCGAAACTACGCTGACCAAGATGCTTTGCGCCGAAATACACTTCCTAGTTACGTTGTCGCTTGGCTTCCTTTGCCTGTCAGCTGTGATGTCTACAACAACAATAACTACTGGGGAGGTAATTGTACTGTAGTCACCGAGGTTTGTGTTTTTTTTGTCTTTGGATACCAAACGTATTTTTATGTGGGAAAACTCCCACGCACTTCCGTTATTTACACGTCGGTTAATCAGATAGCCCTGCAAGAGCCGTTGATTCGCGTGGAGATACTGAAACGATAACGTTACGCGACACTCTCTTTCAAAATTTGGCAGTTAAAGTTTAGCTTGATTATTCCCAAGATACATACATTGTTAGATAAAAACGCAATACCTTTTCTAAATTAATAGAAGTCTTTTTTTGATTCGGCATACATATGCTTTCACCAAGCAGTATTTATTTCATTGAATTTTATGTTTTTGTGTTATACTGCTCGCTTCCGCCAACTAGCTAACATGACAGACAAATCAGTTCTTAAAGTTTGAATTTCTTGTAATATGATCTGGTTCTTAAGACGGATGTTGCCGAATTCAAGAGGTGGCTCTAGTGGTGTTGGGTGGATTTCCCTCCTTATGTCTCGACGTATGTGTTTTTGTAGAAATCATGAGGCACGCTATGGCATTTGTCAGTGGAGTACTTGCAAGATAATTTCCAGATGTTACTAGCAGTAGCAAGATTAGATTTTCTAATTTACGAGATATTTTTCTCTGATGCTCGTACCCAACTGATTGAGAATAAATAATGGTGAGAAATAAGAAATAAGAAATAAGAAATTCTAGTGAATGAGTGACACGTGTTGGACGTCTTGTAATGTTAGCCTTGCTGTCCATCATTGTGACTCTGGACGCTGTCAGTGCCTAACAAGTCTTTCCTCAATAAAGCATCCATGTATTGTATTCCAAATCAGAAACTGTCCTTTAAGTGGCTGAACGAAGTCACCAGGAAGCATTGTCTCTTCTACAAACAAGAGTCTCATGCAGTTTGGCCCCATAAAAGCAGCTGATTACTGCTTTTTGAATTTGGCCTTTGTGCAGCCCTGCGTCCACTTCCACTTACTTCCTGATGGTAATGAGCCGCTAGTAGATCTGTGCACATGATTAAAACATGAGTAGCAGAGAGAATTCTCTTTGAGGTACAGGACAGATGGGACAGTAAAAATGATAGTGCCAGTGCCTTGTTAAATTATTTTTCAGCTCTGTAGGATGCATGATAATCGTAAACACATAAACTACCCACTATTTTCTCGTGATTACTTAATGATTATTAATAATTATTTTCTGGATTTATTCATTAAATCTTTGTCCATAAAATGTCATAAGATCATTAGAAATGGCAATCATGATTTCCAAGAGCAGTGCCTATGGTGATGTCAACAGTCCAAACACCAAAGATATTAAATTTACAATCACACAAGTGTAAGAAAAGCAGTATGTCCACACATTTGTAAAGCTGCTAGGGAATGTTTGGCTTTTTGCTTGTAAAGGTGACTTGTATAATTAATCTGTTATCAAAATACTATAATTTTCTGTCAGTTAATCAGCTAATCAATCATCCAGCAAATTCAATCCTTTCTTTTCCAGCCAAGTCACTGAGGAAAGAGGGAAGACGTGAAGAAACCGTTGTGTATCTCAGATGAAAAGGAGAGACTGGTGATTCACAATGGAGGATTTCAGGCGGACGTACCTGCGTTTGTGTAAGGAGGGAGGTGTGGAGCCTCAGGAGAGCATTGTGGCTCAGCTCCAGGAGAGCAGGGCGGCTCAGGGCTCCAGACTGGACCTGAGGGGACAGAGCCTGTCTGTAGATACCTGCTCTGTGCTGGCCAGAAGCTTCCAAAAAGATACCGCCTTTACAGAGGTGCTACTTAGTGACTGCATGCTCAGCGAGGAAGGTGTGTAAGTTTTGAGACTGACAAACTAGTAGTTTAGGGTATTATATTCTAAGTTGATTAGTGTAAGATCAGGTGTCAATTAGCATATATTTTCAAATGCAAGTATATGCTTAATGCATCTTTTAAATTTCCATATATAACTAAATCTTGAAAAGCGAATTACAAATATATATTTTCATTTTTAAAAAACATCAACAGTTTTCCTGTAACAGCTGGTCACTTTAGTTGAGGGAATTGTGCATTTGTTGGGAACTATTTTCAGTGGTGAATTAATCTACATTTGGTGCACTAGTGAATATTCAGGGCAGCAGGACAGTGTATGTGGGATTGAGTCAAAATAAATTACAGTGTGTGTTCATGATAATGAAGGAACATGCCACCAAGTGTAACAGTGTGGCTCATCTATATGTTTTGAATAATTTTTGGACACCAATGGAGCTCTATGGCACTGAGGAATAACCATAGTTGGTCTCTGCACATTGACTTTAATGACAGTGAGTATAACATAATTTATATCAGTGTCCGTTTTCATGCTTGTGTGTGATTTTCAGGTGCCAAAGTACTTCTGACTGGACTGTTCGGCAACACAACTGTGAAAGTCCTGGATCTGAAGGTAACACCTGCCATATTAGACTGTCCACACTCTCAGACATTACTGGATTTTATTTCACAAGCCATGGTTGGTAAATGTAACATATTGTTGACAGGGGAATAACCTGAGATCTACAGGAGCTGAGGTGTTGGGAAAGCTGTTGGCACGTAACAAGACTCTGCAGAGGTGAGAAGGATGTTCTGAAATTATTTTCTGTCTCGCAATCACCAGATGTGTTTATAAGTGATTATAAAATATCAAAAAAATAATGTCAATTTGGATAAAATAATCTTAATTGAAGCCTTCTTACTAGCTGTTTCCAATGTTTTCATCTATGTCTTCTGGTCTTCATCAGTGGGCGAAGTTTGCTCAGTTGTCATCACATGACATAAGTATGTGACCTCTCTATGACAGCTTATCAAATTCCATCTACCGATGACAAGCCTGAGATGCCATTGAAAGCTTAAGAAAAAACATCAAATGAAGTAAAATCCACAAATATGTTTTGTGTGTTACAATTGAAATCATAAATATATATTTGGTATAAAAGAATTGATTTACTAAAATGTTTGTGCATTTACCCATCACCTGGTGTTTGTGTAACTGCTACACTTATTTGCAGATTTTTGGCTCCTCACAGAAAGATGGTTGAATTGCTGGTATTATTAGTATTAGTATTAGTATTTGCAGTGAATCTACCACAGCCAATCAGTCACATCATTATGACAGTATAATTAGGACAGTATCTCAAGTTATGCAATTCAGGTGGAGTTACCTGTTAAAAAAGTGCAAAGGGCATTTGTCAGTGTTTGGCCGTGTGCCTCACATAAAGGACCATGCAACAAAAACATGTTCTTTAATAAAATACATGATGCAGCCAATATAAATTGAATCTCTAGAAACAAATATCTGCAAATAAATGCCGAATCGGTAGACAGCTGGACAAGATTTTGGTATCAGAAGTATTCTGGTTTTCATTTGTAGTCCAAGTAGTGTTGATCAGTCCTGTTTGAGTGGGTTTTGGTTGCCTGCAGGTAATCAGTCCATGAAAAAAGAGGTGGAATGCATTGCCCGAAATGCAGTCTCGGAACCTATCTGCCATTGTCTAATGAGGATTTAGCTTTTTATTCGTTTATTTTTTTTTTTTTTTTTAATTTATTTGCTGTTATATGCACATACAGTACAGGCCAAAAGTTTGGACACACCTTCTCATTCAATGCGTTTTCTTTATTTTCATGACTATTTACATTGTAGATTCTCACTGAAGGTATCAAAACTATAAATGAACACATGTGGAGTTATGTACTTAACAAAAAAAGGTGAAATAACTGAAAACATGTTTTATATTCTAGTTTCTTCAAAATAGCCACCCTTTGCTCTGATTACTGCTTTGCACACTCTTGGCATTCTCTCGATGAGCTTCAAGAGGTAGTCACCTGAAATGGTTTTCCAACAGTCTTGAAGGAGTTCCCAGACGTGTTTAGCACTTGTTGGCCCCTTTGCCTTCACTCTGCGGTCCAGCTCACCCCAAACCATCTCGATTGGGTTCAGGTCCGGTGACTGTGGAGGCCAGGTCATCTGCCGCAGCACTCCATCACTCTCCTTCTTGGTCAAATAGCCCTTACACAGCCTGGAGGTGTGTTTGGGGTCATTGTCCTGTTGAAAAATAAATGATCGTCCAACTAAACGCAAACCGGATGGGATGGCGTGTCGCTGCAGGATGCTGTGGTAGCCATGCTGGTTCAGTGTGCCTTCAATTTTGAATAAATCCCCAACAGTGTCACCAGCAAAACACCCCCACACCATCACACCTCCTCCTCCATGCTTCACAGTGGGAACCAGGCATGTGGAATCCATCCGTTCACCTTTTCTGCGTCTCACAAAGACACGGCGGTTGGAACCAAAGATCTCAAATTTGGACTCATCAGACCAAAGCACAGATTTCCACTGGTCTAATGTCCATTCCTTGTGTTTCTTGGCCCAAACAAATCTCTTCTGCTTGTTGCCTCTCCTTAGCAGTGGTTTCCTAGCAGCTATTTGACCATGAAGGCCTGATTGGCGCAGTCTCCTCTTAACAGTTGTTCTAGAGATGGGTCTGCTGCTAGAACTCTGTGTGGCATTCATCTGGTCTCTGATCTGAGCTGCTGTTAACTTGCGATTTCTGAGGCTGGTGACTCGGATGAACTTATCCTCGGAAGCAGAGGTGACTCTTGGTCTTCCTTTCCTGGGTCTGTCCTCATGTGTGCCAGTTTCGTTGTAGCGCTTGATGGTTTTTGTGACTCCACTTGGGGACACATTTAAAGTTTTTGCAATTTTCCGGACTGACTGACCTTCATTTCTTAAAGTAATGATGGCCACTTGTTTTTCTTTAGCTAGCTGATTGGTGATATGAATTTTAACAGTTGTTCAATAGGGCTGTCGGCTGTGTATTAACCTGACTTCTGCACAACACAACTGATGGTCCCAACCCCATTGATAAAGTAAGAAATTCCACTAATTAATCCTGATAAGGCACACCTGTGAAGTGGAAACCATTTCATGTTACTACCTCTTGAAGCTCATCGAGAGAATGCCAAGAGTGTGCAAAGCAGTAATCAGAGCAAAGGGTGGCTATTTTGAAGAAACTAGAATATAAAACATGTTTTCAGTTATTTCACCTTTTTTTGTTAAGTACATAACTCCACATGTGTTCATTCATAGTTTTGATGCCTTCAGTGAGAATCTACAATGTAAATAGTCATGAAAATAAAGAAAATGCATTGAATGAGAAGGTGTGTCCAAACTTTTGGCCTGTACTGTATGTGTTCATAGAGATTGACCACAATGTTGTCCAGACCTGACTCAGGTTGCAAATCAAACTGTAAACAGTGAGCAGTGCATGAAAGAGGAAATCTTGGCCATGATAGACATTTGCTACACCAGAGCTGTGTTCAGAATCGCCTACTACATATTCCACCTGTTTGTACTGTATATTGCCTACTAAATGAATGATAACCAGCCATTACCCACCGACTGTTTACACCGAGGTACAGTACACTCAAGTAAGAAAGTCATGTCATAATAAAGTCTATAAACAGTCAATAAATCCTGATCCTGACTAGATGTCATGACCGCATCACATGACTGGCGACTGGTCTGACCCAGCCAGCAGCTGACACATAGTTAATTACAAAAAGGTGTTATTTGGATAAACTGACCACATATTGGGAATCTAAATAATTACTTTTTTGCCTGAAAAAATATATAAACTTAATAAAGTGACATATTAATAGCTTTTAGCCTGGCTCAAAATCCATCGCTGGACACTGTGCAGAGACGCAGTGCCTTGTAGTGTAGCCTACAGTCGGGCGTTTCTCGTGTTGACAAAATCCACATACTATGCAGTGTGAACAAACCACATACCCACCTTTACCCTCATTCTTAGTATGAATAGTATGTTATTATGTGATTTTGAACACAATCCAGATCTCCCAAAATATTGACCCTTGCCCTCAGATGCTTTATCATCGTCAGATGTTAGCCGGTGGGTTCCAAGATTGATATTAATTATGCTCAAGAACTCAATAATGTCAGCTGTTGTTGTTGTTGTTGTTGTCAAATCACTGGTCCTAATTTAAGCTGACATGAGAGGTGTAACCATGGCCGTATTAACCTGTGCAAACCGTGATCAGTCTAAACTAGTCAGAAAAATCTATGCTAATCAAAGTTGACTTCTGCTACATATTATTGCTGTCAACTAATAACTTTTTTTATTTTCCTAGAAAGGATTTTCAATCAGGACTTTTTAGTCAGAAAATAACCCCACACTGCTGCAAGTATGCAACAGAGAACAATTTCCTTATTAACACCTGGTGCTTAAAATTTGTGTTTATACTGTTTACAGGCTAGTGTTGGAGTGGAACGCTTTGGGAGTGTGGGATGAAGCCTTCTTACTCTTTTGTGAGGGACTGGCCTCCAACACTGTGCTGACACAGCTGGACCTACGCAACAATCAGATCAACCACCACGGAGCGTCTGAGCTGGCACTGGCACTTAAACGCAACGCCACTTTGCAAGTGCTAGGTGAGACACAATCACATAAAATAGGAGCCCTTCACTTTGTTGTCCAGGTGTATAACCATTGACACAAAGTTCCTGCTTAAAGCTGGAGCCTATCCCAGCTGACATTGGGCGAGAGGCGGGGTACACCCTGGACAGGTCGCCAGACTATTGCAGGGCTTACACATGGGGACAGACAACCATTCATACATACCTACGGTCACTTTAGAGTCACCAATTAACCTAACCTGTATGTCTCTGGACTGTGGGAGGAAGCCAGAGTATCCTGGAGAAAACCCAAGCTGACGTGGGGAGAACATGTAAACTCTGCATAGAAGGGCTCCCCCACCCCTGAGTTCGAACCCCTCGTCCCGCGTTCAAATTAGAAACCCTCTTGCTGTGAAGTGACAATGCCACCCACTGCCATAAATGAATCTCCAGGCCTGTATTGATGGTCTACATAGCTTTGAAGGACAATCTGGGGTTGAGAGGGCTTGGGCTTAACTAATCACATGATCCACAGCAACCACTAGCATTAAGAGAAACCATGCCTGTAGTCTTTAGTCTATACTGATGTAGAAAAAATGTCTGCTTTGGTGGTTAACAGACATGTAGAATGATAAATGGATTAGTGTGTTTGTGCAGTCTGTGCACGCAGCCTGTTGCAGTTGCTCGTGGGGATCAATATAGAATTGAAATGCATTACTTGGAGTGGTAAAGAACAGATTCTTGCAGTATACTGGTGTATGTCACCTGACTGATTGACGGTCCACTGACTGTGTTCACAGATCTGAGGTGGAACAACATTGGTCTGCTGGGTGGCAGGTCCCTGCTGGAGGCTCTTCAGAAGAACAAGAGCATAGTGAAGCTGGAGATGGCAGGGAACAACATACCTAGTGACACACTCAAAGCACTTGGTAAGGTGTGTGTGTGTGTGTGTGTGTGTGTACAAATTTACCCTAGTTTTTCTATTCTGCATTACTTGTGTTCTGCATAACCCCAACCCCCAAACATGCAGCTGCATCCTGTCTGCCTCCTTAAAGGGGTGGTTCGTCAAAATTACAAAAGAAATCTTATTTTCTCAGTTCCCTCTGGCGGTATCTCTCCCTTCAGATAGTTTTGGTTTAAGCTAGTTCACGTTTTCACATATAGGTGTCTGAGAGTTCTCCCTCCACCCTACTAAAACTGAGGCAGATCGAATCCACACAGCATTTAAAACAACAGCAAAACTCAACATCTAATTACTAGTGCGTGGTCTCACATTAGTGAAATTAACACTGGCAAGTATTTGCTTCCTGTTCACCTCCATTTAATGCAAGCGAGGGGCGAATAAAACATGTTAGTGTTCTGATTGAGCATCTGTGCTATGTGTTGGTACCCCAGAGGTCCTGTGTCTCTACAGGTCAGAGCCAAGTCTGGTCCACAGTGGGGCCTCTGAACTATCGAGGCATGGGAGGGTGGGGGTGGGTGGTTGGGGGGGGGTCCCATGAATGCTCAATCAAGCTGGGATCTGGGGAATTTGGGGGCCAGGTGGATCCCTTGAGCTCTTTGTCATATTCCTCTTGCCATTTCTGAGCAGTTTTTGTGGTGTGGCAAGGTGCATTGTCCTGCTGAGGAGGGGCACTAACATCCAGGAGTGCCGTTGCCATAAGTGAGTGTACTTGGTCTACAACAGTGTTTTGGTGGTGGAGCTCGTCACGTGGCATCCACATGAATGCCAGGACCCGAGGTGTCCCAGCAGAGCATTGTATTATAACACGATTATCAATGCTATTTACTTGACCTGTTAGAGGTTTTAACATTGTGGCTTATCAGTGTATATTCAGTTCGAATAATATGTTTGTTTTTTTTACCCCTGTCATTATTGGGAAAGTGTGTGGACTGATCTGAATGTGGTACAGATTATCACTCAGTCATACCTGTTAACATCAATCAATCAATCAATCAATTTTATTTATAAAGCCCAGTATCACAAATCACAATTTGCCTCACAGGGCTTTACAGCATACGACATCCCTCTGTCGTTAGGACCCTCAAAGCGGATAAAGAAAAACTCCCCAAAAAACCCTTTAAGGGGGGAAAAAAACGGTAGAAACCTCAGGAAGAGCAACTGAGGAGGGATCCCTATTCCAGGACGGACAGATGTGCAATAGATGTTGTACAGAACAGATTAACATGCATGCTGTTCTCCACTCAGTACCCATGTTTTTCTCTCTTCACTCATTACCCTTTTGCTCCCGTTGTTTAACCCTTTCAGAGCAGACCACCGGGCACAACTCAGACATACAGTCCACCCTGAGAGAGAGCCGCAGCAGGACTCAGGTCCTTAGCAAGGAGATCCAGACGCTAAAGGAGGAGAAGGGCCGGCAGGTAATCCTCACACTGAAGAAGGAAATAATTCATACTAACAGAGCAAGAACACTGGTGGATGAAGGCTGTTTAAGACTTTTCAAAATCACAAAAATATGCTCACTTATCCCCATGACAATGTGACCATTACTACCATGGCTGTGGACTATTACGTTAGATATTCAAAGACCTCCCCAGTAGTCTTCATTGGAGCTCCTTTCTACTGGAGGAGTCTCAGTAAAAACAGTGCACAGTGAGGTCTGTGATTTGTGAAAGTAAAGTTAAATCTGATCAGTTAGAGTGGATTCCAGTGGTGACAATTTTCATAGTCCATGATATCAAACATCCAGAGAGATGACAATGTAATTCATCATAACTGACAATCACCATGCTTGGACAAGGAAAAAGATACAAACCTTTCTGCTGCTGTATTCAAAGCCTTCATGTGGTGTGTTTAATATTCGAAAGACGTTGGGGCATTTTTGATACAAAATTTGAGGTGGAATATAGAATATGTAACTTTTCAGCATTAAAATGTCTAAAAACAACTAGGCCAGTGTTACATATTTTGTTGAGTTGTGTACTTGCTGTACATTACTCCAAAGGATCCGGTACGTGTCATTTGGTCTTTACCTGTCAGTGGCATCATATCCCCTTTGCATATGCGTCAGGGTTGTGGTTGGATGCAATAAGCTTAAAATGAATGTATGTTCATCCAGTATTAAGCCACATTTTTTCAACTACTGTATATGGCTTAACCAGATGAAGGAGTCAGTCAGTCATGAGTCACTGGATGTCTGAATCTTAAGTTATCAGAGAAACAAGCTGAACAAATGTTAGCGGAAGCTTAGCTGCAGCCGGCGCCATGCCAAACCGCATCAGAGAAAACAGATTTTTTACGTGAAGCTTTTTTATATTTTTACAAGTTTAAAATACTTGATCTGTTTGTTTTGGAGAGCAGAGGACTTCTGCTGATAATTCGGCTATTGGTAAAAACTTCCTCAACGTCTGCATCTTAAATTATCAGTGAGAAAGGTTGAGCCCACATCAGCAGGAGCTGGGCTAATAGCCTCTCCACGATGAGCTGAATAGCATCCGAGAAACACTGATTTTTTTATTTGAAACTGCTTTAGTCAGTGTTGCTGCCAATTTTAATCACCTAGTCTGTTTGTTTTGGAGAGGAAGAGACCTCTGCGGATAATTCAGCTTCCAGTAAAAACCTCCTGTAAAAACGATGAACTCTGAAGGAATCCCCACTGAGAGAAACTGACTACAATGAAAGCATTGCTCCATCTTTTGTCATTGTTTTGATTGAGGGACCAGCAGAAAATGACATATTTTACACCTAAATTATTGTTAAGTATAACCGATTCATGATAAAGTTTTTGGTGGTAATTGTGGTTGTTCCTCCTCTCTTTTAGTTTCTAACCTTGATGGAAACCATAGACAGGCAGAGGGAGGAGATGGGACGCTCCAGCGGGTGAGTGAAGTTGTTGTTGCGTACAGTCATTGGCTATAACAATAGTTTTATAACTGAGAGGCACAACCTCCACATCAGTCTTTAACCCTTTACATCTGCGCTGAAAAGGAAATAAACCCAGGGAGATGTAGAACATATTATTTAGTCAGCACTTTTTTCATGTCTCTGCGCTGGCGATTGCTTTAGCCAGACAAATTGTATTTTCGGGTTGTCCATCAGTCCGTCCCATCCTTATGAACATGATATCTCAAGAAGGACTCAAGGAAAGTTCTTGAAATTTGGCACAATAGTGGACAACACATTTGGAAACCATGAACTGATTAGTTTTTGGTGGTGAAAGGTCAAAGGTCAAATCTATGTGACCCCATCTGTCTCATTCTTGGGAATGTAATATCTTAAGAATGTTGTCAAAGGTCAAGTCTATGTGACCTCATCTGTCTTAATCTTGTGAATGTGATATCTCAAGAATACCTAGAGGGAATTTCTTCAAATTCGGCACAAACGTTCATTTGGACTCGACATTGAACTGTTTGGATTTCAGCGGTCAGTGGTCAAGGTCAGTGTGACCTTACGCCTTAAGGGAAATTCTTTAAATTTAAAACAGTCGTCCACTTGGACTAAAGAGTAAACTGATTAGAGTTTTGTGGTTTGAAGGTCAAAGGTCAAGTTCAGTGTGGCATTACAAAATATATTTTGGGCCATAATTCAAGAATTCATATCCTAATTATGATAAAACTTCACGCAGATGTCTGATGGGATAAAATATTACATCCATGTAAACTGTCCGTCCTGGAAGAGGGATCCCTCCTCAGTTGCTCTTCCTGAGGTTTCTAACGTTTTTTTCCCCGTTAAAGGGGTTTTTTTGGGGAGTTTTTCCTTATCCGCTGCGAGGGTCATAAGGACAGAGGGATGTCGTATGCTGTAAAGCCCTGTGAGGCAAATTGTGATTTATGACATTGGGCTTTATAAATAAAATTGATTGATTGATTGATTGATTGATTAAACTCTTAAGAGACACTTGACTGGTGCGCAGAGGCATACAATCGTGGGGTGGTAATTCTAGTTTACAGTGCTTATACTCATAGCTATCCCTCTGCGCCTTCGTCAAATAATCTGATTTTTTGTACCCATGACCTCATGGCAGTGACCTTGTGACCTCTCTTCTGATTGATTAGGTCCACCTCCATTCAGATAGGCCAACTTCAGGAAGCTCTCAATGAGAGGAAGTCAGCTGTCAACTCTCTCACTGCCAAGTAAGCATTTCATTTTCCTTTATTCAGTATTCACAATGTGAAGAGCAGTACAGTATGTTTGTGGGTGCTAAATGCAATATAAGTTACTCTAGTACATTTTTCAGTCAAACACAATTGTAAGGGAGACTCCGGTGTGAACCACAGTATATACTTAGGCTTCCTCACTGACTCAACACTACTTGAACACTTGTACAAGCTAAATATTTAATCAGGCATCATAGGAGCAGCTGCTATTAGTTACTGAAGGTTCTCAGGTACACAGACATCCTTAGTCTGAAACTTATATTCTTTCAAGTGGCACATATAATGGTATGAGCTCCTTCTGCTGTGAAAAAGATCAGTGCAGTATACTTACCCCACCCAGGTACTCTGCTAAAGATGTATAGCTAAATATTATTACTTACTTTTCTTTAAATATGTTAACATTTCATGTCTAATGACACTTGACCTTTTTTTTATTGGAACTTGAATTTAATAGAATTCTGAAAGTCAGTCCTTATGAAATTATGTGGTAATAGTTGTGGTAATAGTATAGACTGGTTAGGTTCATATGAGTAGTTAAAAGATGCAAAGGGAAGAAGTAAATTGTGTCACATGCATGCATTTACAGCCATTACTGATATACACAGACTTCATACAAGCATTAAAATTATTGTGTGTTGTTGTTCTTTGTGGATGTAACACCAAAATGTCTGAATGCTGCTTGCACTGATTGTTGCGCAGCCACAAAAATATCGTCCCAAGTACAATTTCTTTATATTTTGGCTCGTAGTCATTAGGAAATGCATTGGCCGCGCTTTGGAAAGCAGAGCTAGATGGTAAACAAACATGGCAGCACAAGGGTAAGGCAAGACAACACGTTTATATGTCATTTTCTATATGTTCTCTGACATTTATCCTAACGATATGAGGCGGTCTTTGTGGAAAAAAAGCTTGTTTAGTGGACTAACTTTGCACTTGAAGGGATGCCCATTCACTTACGTTTTAACAGGTCTGACGCTACTATGCGCACCGGCTGTATCTAGGCTAACGGCTAACATGCTAACTATTATTTTTATGTCACTAGTCACTTGAAACAAATTTAGGACGATAGGAGACAGGTTGAAATAAAACGAAATTTCCCTTTAAANCTAACATGCTAACTATTATTTTTATGTCACTAGTCACTTGAAACAAATTTAGGACGATAGGAGACAGGTTGAAATAAAACGAAATTTCCCTTTAAAGAATAGTAAGAAGCACATGCAGTAACTCTGATCACATGATGTGATTTTGTGCAGACTACAGATGACAGAGGCTGCCCTGGCCCTCTCTGAGCAGAAAAACAACAACCTGGGAGAGTTGCTGACACGAGTGAAGGCTGAGAAAGAAGAACAGAGGGAACGACAGAGCAGAGAGAGGAAGAAGGAGCAAGAGGTACGGACATATGTGACGGACACAAATATGTGATTCAGCTAGCTCAAGAGAGCTTTAGCACTTGCTACTAATTGGCCACAGGACAAGATATTTGTATTCAGATACCCTCGAAATATTAAAACCCAGTCAGAGTGGACATACTTATATTACTCTAATCTATATATTCAGATTTGAGGCCTCAATATAGAAGCTCCCTAGATCTGAATGCCTATTTTATCTCAGTTTATGACCTTTAGTATTTTTGTTATTACAAAACATGTTTCGTAATCTGCATTTAGAAAAAGAAATCCTATTTTAGGATTGGAATTTTGTTATTAGAGAACCATCCTAACTTATGGGTTCCCAAGTTAGGAATACTAAATTAGAATGGCCTAGACCCTGTCTTAAATTAAAAATAAATGCCAAAAATGGCAGCAGAACTGTTTTGAGCTCTGTATGGCATTGACAGTGAAAATGTGGAACAACATGATACTGAAATATAATGGTTATGACAACAAATATGAAGATAGCATTATTGAAAGAAAACTTCTTGAAAAGGTTGGGTTTCCTCTCCTCCACCAACAAAATTAGTGCCTCCGACTTCTTATAGCTAAAATTGAATGCCTGTCTTTTTTGTCTATGATAGCAAGCATAGCAAGCCAGTGACAAGTGAGAGCAGTCGATATTACGGCTTGTCTGTTTTGAAGCCCACTGGTAGATTCTAATCAAAAGTAAAGGCAATGACAGGATGAGTGAGGAGATAGAGTGAAGAGATACATACTTACAGTTGTACAGTCGAAAACAACAGTTTGGGCAGCCCTGGTCAAAATTTTGATCACTGTAAATAGCAAAAAAA